GCCCACCCGCAAGGGAAGGCTTCCCTTTGGCTCCATGGCTCAGCCCCATCCTCAGACTTGGTCTTGTGCCCAAATCAAGAGCACGGATGTTTTCATTAGGAAGTCACAGTTCACACAGCTCAGCTCCCTGTTACCTCTGCTACAAGCAGGACGTGCCCTCCTGGTGGGGTAATTCCCCCTAAAAAATGGATTTCATGCCTAGGAAGTGAAGCATTTTCTGGGATACAGAACATGCTGTTCACACCTTGCCGTGGCAAAGAGCTGCCACCCCAGAGAGGCAGAGGCAATAAAAGGTTTAATCATACAAAATGCAATACAGAAAAATGTGTGTGTGCGTTTCAAAAGGAGGAGCCAGAAAAATCCCAGTCTGGGTTGGGTCAGTTCACCCGTGGCTTGACTCAGTGGGGCCGAGCACAACCAGCGTCAATGAGCAAACGGTTCTGTGTTTTGGGCCAAATTTAAAGACAGCAGAGGCACCATGGATTAATTTGACCTATGGAAAAACATTAAGCAAAACACAAGAGAAGCCCATGATTAAGATCACTCTGAAACACACTCTTAATCCCAGCAGCGCCCTGGGACACACACACCCTTCGAATCGGAGGAGCCTCTTTTGGAACAGACTCAGCTCACTATCGTAGCTGCAACATGTGGGCCACGCTGCTAATGCAGAGCGACTTCATAAACTCCGATTTCGGGCTCAAGCAACTGGTGAGGCCACAGGCACAACACAAAATCCTGTTGTGATCCTTGCAACAGTGTCCCCTTCTCTGTTGACATCCCAGAAATAAAGTATCTGCACTGTGCCAGAGCCCCAGGCACCCACCTGCAAAGGGGCCGCGCCGCACCAGGCACGGAGGGAAAGGGGGAGAAGGGAGAAACCCCCAATCTGCTGCGCCTCAGCTCTTGACGAGAGCAGCCTTTGCATCTGTGCTGAGCGAGCAAACGAAAACATCCTGAGTCCCCAGCGGGAGGAAGGGAAAGCAGAACGATGGAAACACGGATGCTGGACCAGCTCAAAGCAGGGTCAACCAGGTCTTCCCCCTTCAGCTGTCAGCTGGGAGAAAGACGGATTTCCAACAGGATGAGGAGCAAAGTACAAATGAGGCAGCCTGCAGCTCACCCCGCTCCCTCTGAGCAGCCTCCAGGACAGGTCTGGGA